GGGGGACCCGGTCCATATGTGGGATCCAACCCCTCGGGCGGGAGCGCCGCCGCACTTCCCAAGCGGCGCACTATCCATTGCACCACCGGGCCGGCCCGACAGGTGGACTTTTGTCATTGATTCGTAGTTACTGCATTGCTGTCTTCAGAGACTCGAGTTGCAGCTATTAGGAAGAAAGGTGCTTTGCTCAGTACTTGTTTCTTTTGGAAGGAGTAGATGTCTTTCCTAGAGAAAATACATGTGCTCAGTTTGTGAGGTGTACAGGGTGTTACAATCTCCGTCATTCATCACAAGCTCCTCCACCAACTCCCTCGACCCTCATACCAACAACCCTGTTATTGGGAGGAGGTGGCCAAGGCCAGAATGTAGGTAATTTTACAGGTGGAGAAACAAAGGCTCATGAAGTCCCACAGCCAGGTGGTGAGAAAACATCTTTAAACTCGTTGTCCAACATTCTCTACACTTTGTCCCACCACCTACAAGGAGAGCAGAACTCAGAGAGTCTCTTATCCCTATAAAATAAACCATTTTGGCCAATCAGACTAAAAAAATCAAGCTTGTTTCAAGAATTTTCCCCATCCTAGTTACTGTTTTGCCTTTATTATTAGTTAATACAGAGCAGTAGTTAAAATGTCTTAGTGGTTGCAGCTTTATGTTAGTCCTAGGTAATCATTACTTTTCCTCCTACTCATTCCTGTTAACCCCAGACAGCCTCAACATCAGTCTCTGGGTTTATCCATGTTGTAGAGGCAGTGGTGTTACTGCCAAAGAGTTTTCCCAGAGCATCCCATGCTTCTCTCTTCTCTCTCTCATCCCACCTCTAAATGGGCATGTTGGGTTTGCTGTTTCTGCTCTAGCTGACCTCAGGCAAGGCATTTACCCTATGGAGAGGCTCCCTTTTCACTACCTGTCATGTGAAGTTCGGGGCAAGCTGGTCCCATTTCAAAAGGCCAAGTTAAATCTCAGTAGTAGGGAAGAGAACTCACATTTTAAGTGAATAAGGTGTTAAGGCAGCTTTTCTGCAGAGGGTTTGCACATGGCACTCACGGCTCACTTTGGAAAGGTGATTTTGTCAAATCTCCTTGAGGACAAGACAACACCAAGTTTCTGGATTCTTTGCTCTCTCTTTCAGATGCCAGTATGGACAGAATAGCTTATGATGCTTATCCCCACCCACCACTTCCGAGACATTGAACGAAAACCAGAATACCTCCAGCCGGAGAAGTGCATCCCACCTCCCTACCCTGGGCCTGTGGGAACAATGTGGTTTATCCGCGACGGCTGTGGCATCGCCTGTGCCATCGTCACCTGGTTTCTGGTCCTCTATGCAGAGTTTGTGGTTCTCTTTGTCATGCTGATTCCATCCCGGGACTACGTGTACAGCATCATTAATGGAATTATGTTCAACCTGCTGGCCTTCTTGGCCCTGGCTTCCCACTGCCGGGCCATGCTGACGGACCCCGTGAGTATGTCTGGGCTTGATTTGACCAGCCCACACTCTCCTCCTTTGGCCCTGGCATGGCTGCAGCCTGCATGCTCCCCTTGGACCTCAGGAATGTGGAGAACAGACGGACCCCGTGAGTATGTCTGGGCTTGATTTGACCAGCCCACACTCTCCTTCTTTGGCCCTGGCATGGCTGCAGCCTGCATGCTCCCCTTGGACCTCAGGAATGTGGAGAACAGGAGGGCCAGGGCTGGGTGGGAAAGGGGGCCCCTCCCTCTCCCTTGTTCAGAGCTCTGTGAAACTCGGACTAGAGGAGAGGGGACAATATCCATACTACAGCCTATCTGTCTTGGTTGAATGATACTATATGTACATTGATGTATATATTGAGCCTGCTGTGGGAGGTGTTTGGCTTAGGGGAGACCTGGCCTCTGGTTAGAAAGGTGCAGTCAGATAACCTTAGAGACAGGACCAGATAATCAGAGCAGGAAGTGTGCTGGGGGATTGGGTCAGGAGGGGCCTCCTAGTGAAGATAGGACTGGAACTGGGTGGATTTGAAATTAAAGCCACATCCAATTCCAGGAACCTGCACGGAAATGGTCTTCCCTTTGCTTGGGCGAGGTTCATCTTTTCCTGAAAAGCGGAACAAGCCAGTTTCAGGCCGCAGCAAGTCCCTCTTGGTGAATATCTGTGGGTAAAGCAGTAGTGTTCTGTTCCATGACTTAGCTAAATATACCAAGCTGTGCAAGTGGCTGTCAAATGTTTGTACACCCTGGTATTAAACCCTTCATTCCTGTTCATGATCTTGTATGGGGAAAGTGAGAGAGTACCTTATTTGATAAAGACCTCATGTGGCTTAATTGTTTCAGTGCATGGGACATGTATGTTTAAATTAAGAAAGAGAAAGCACTGCTCATGGCAGTGGCACTGGCCACACAGATTTCATTTCTGTGAGCCCCAGGGAAGGTTCAATAAAGGTGATGGGGTCCTGAGCCAGTTCCCTTCTCAAAAGGCTCTATTTCCTGCTGGTTCAAATGGATTGTTAATCCCTCCTAAAGGAAGGCAACTTTCCCAGCTCAATTACATGTCAGCAACTGGTCTAGACAGCATCTCTTCTCATGCACGTGCCTCAGGGAGACTGCACACAGTGGCAGGCCGGGGCCAGTTGGCCCAGTGTTAGCGTGGCTTACAGGATCGTTGAATAGCTATCACCTGAAGAAAAGGAAGTACATGGGCATAATCATAAGTGCCCCGAAACACAAGGATATAAAAGAGTTTTCCCAGCAGCATCAACTTGATCTTACTGAAAACAAGTTAAGGATATATTCAGAAATTTGTATGATGCCCTTGCTTGGGGATACAGTAGTGTTGTGAGTTACCCTCCCACAAGAAATGCACTTACACACCACTTGTGCAGAAAAGGGCAGTTTATTCACTCCGCACCCTCCCACAAGAAATGCACTTACACAACACTTGTGCAGAAAAGGGCAGTTTATTCACTCCGGCTGGCCAGCATCCGTCTCCCAAGGAGCAACCAAGGAAGAGCGCCTCGGGCTTTGGTCTTATAGGGTTTTTAGAGGCAAAAACTACATCCTGTTGGCACACAGGTTTGTCCAGGTGCACAAAGCAAGCTAGGGAGCTAGGTCACAAAGGCCGAGAATGAGCCATTCGAGCAATGAAGCTACAAGTTTTCATTGTGTGTGGTTCCTGTTCCCATGTAATAATTCACTGTGTATGGCTCCTGTTTCTGTGCAATTGTTTTTTGTTTCTATGAGAAGGTCAGTAGCTTTTCATGCAGAAGGGGGGGGGTAGTGTGCAGGTCAGACAGGAGGCAAAGTGGAGTTACTTAGGTTAAGCAAGCAATTCTACAGAAGCAGATAGTGTACGTTATCAGGGTGTAGGAAGCTCTATTTCATTCCCAACTCCTCTTTAGGGAGGAATCAAATCATTGCTTCATCAAGTACTTAATTTGTTGTACTTAGAATGTAAAACAAGGAGTTTGACTGATTGTTCGTTATCCAAGGTGACCAGGAAAAAGATTTTCATACCAATTTTTATTATTATTATATGACTTTTTTCTTTTTTTTTAATGTGTTTTCTGACTGATGCAAGGCTGTTTCTAATAATACCCAAATGGTTGGTATAGAAACAACAGGTTTCCCTAGAGCCATATATAATCCACCTTGTTAGTCTGATTGTGTGGATTATATATGGGTGCAGCTGCTGCCATGCATTCAGATAGGTCCAGCCTCTGTGTAGGACACAATGACCACAGCAAAGAGGAAAAAATTAACTTTTTACAACATTGTCAGATTGACCACTTGGTAAAAATTTTTAATCAAAGCACTCTACATTTTAAAATTGTTATTTATTTGGAAAAACTTTTAATAAACTAGGAATAGAAAGCACCTTCCTTAATCTAATAAAGTGCATCTACAAAAAGCCCACAGCTAACATCATACTTAATGGTGAAAAACTGGGTGCTTTTCCCATAAACTGAGGAATAAGGCAAGCATGCCCATTCTTGCCATTTTTATGCAGCATTGTATGGGGCCAGCATTGTATGCTAGCCAGTCTGCTCATGACAAAGAAGGAGGTACGGGTTGGAAAGGAACAAGTAAAACTGTCTTTATCCATAGATGGTATGGTCCTGTGTGTAGAAAATACTGAGGAATCCATACAAAAAGCTACTAGACATGTTTGACAAGTTTGAGGACCTGAGATTAAAATGAAAAAAAGCAATTGTACTTCTATATACTAGTAATGAACAGTCTGAAAATGAACTTAACAATTTCATTCACAATAGCATTGAAGAAAATAAAATGTTTAGGAACAAATTTAACAAAAGTATGCAAGACTTCTCTGTTGAAAATGACAAAA